CCTCGACACAGGGGACGCAGGAAGGACCAGGCCCCGAAGGAAGGGGAGGGAGGGACCGGGGAAGACCAGAGACAAGGACACGGGAAGCCATGCCTCGGAGACGAGGCAGGGAGGGGTGACCAAGACGGTGGTGCCACAGGAGAGTCTCGTGAGACAGGAGGCGACACGAGCAGGGGGCAGACTCAGGACCAGACCTGGACACTGCAGCAAACAGTTGACCCGACGCAGCTACCTGGCCAGACGTAGGGACAGGAGGAGACTCAGTGGTCAAGGTGTAGAGGCTCGACCCCGGCCGACGCGTAAACGGGGCCAGGTGCCGGCCTGTGCGAATGTCCGAGCAGTGGGTCACCCGCTGACTCGCAGGAGTAAACTGGTGAACCCCCGCATCCTGTAGGTCAGCACCGCTCACCAAGTTCGTAGAGAACGAGGGGAGGAAAAGACCAGACAAGGTGCTAGAGGGGGCAGCCGGACACGGGAGGACAGTAGAGAAGTGAGAGAGGACACGACCCCCAGAGGGGTCTGCCAGGGAGATTGGAACCGGCCGACCAAGTGGCGTGAGTGTGGTGCGGTCTTGAAAGAAGGAGCGAGAAGCCCCTGAGTCAAGTGTGAAGGTGAGGGAGGCCGAAGCCGACGTGGTACTTGAGAGCGCGGACTCACCAGCACCTGAGGACGCAGACGCACTGGCACCTAGAGCAACAGCCGCACTGGCACCTAGAGCAGCAGCCTCGCCAGCACCTACAGCAGCACTCTCAATGCCCAGATCGGGCGGGAAACACCGGTAACAGTCACCCTCGTCACTATACGTCACAGCATACATGGCAGCAAGAATAGCATCAAAGTCAATATCAAAGATAGCTACACCTGCCCTAGACAGCCCTCTCCAGCGGGGGATCTCAGCGGCCTCCGGGAACTGGTAACGCCAAGCGTCCGTCAGGCGGCCAAAGCAGCGCTGGGTGGAGTGGGCACCCCCACACTTCTCACCTGTGCGGTTGCCAGTGCGAAGGACGTAGGTGCACGGACCAAAACCCCCACCACGTTGACGCGCACCGTACCACTCACGGAGCTGCTGAGGGGGGGGGATGTCCCGAGAACGCTGCTGCTGCTGCTGCTGGCGCTGACCATCACCGGAGCCGCTCTGTTGCAAAGCGCCACCCGGACCAGCTCCACCTCCTCCACCACCGCCTCCTCCACCGCCGCCACCACCGTCGCCTCCACTCCCACCGCTACCGCCTCCGCCGCCTCCGCCTCCACTGCTGCCACCGACACCTCCACCCCCGCCACCACTCCCACCGCCACCCCCACTCCCTCCGCCGCCTCCACCGCCACCTCTGCCACCCCCGCTAGCCCCACCCGCGCCCTTGCCCCCCTTGCCCTTGCCAGAGCGGCGTCTCCCGCTAGGGGTAGACGCCGCAACGACCGACTCAAGACCATCTAGGTCGGCCGCAGCAGCAGAGGCGACAGAGGGCAAAAGGGGGGAAGGGGAACACCCCTCAAAGACGGGGGTGCGAGGGTCACCACGAGAGGCTTCTACTGCGACTATGCTCTTCTCCGCTGCTAGGAGGGCCTTCTCTAGGAGGTCAACAGTGAGAGTGGTGAGACACACTGATAGGAAGTGGTCCCTGACTACACAAAGGGAGTCAGGGAGGCGGGTGACTATATAATAAAGAGTGATGTACATTGGGGGGGGGGTCTTGGCGCAGAACTCAGCAGGAAGGGCAGCGCGGTAGCGAGTGTCACTAGTGCGGAGGTGCGTAATGAGGTCGGCGACAGTGGGAAAGGCAGCAAGGTCAGGGTAGATGTACAGTAGCATGAGGCGGCTCAGTGCAGCAGTGGCAGGGGAAGAGTAGCGCGCAACTACGGCGTCGTACAAGGTCTGAGCACTCTTGTACTGACTAAAGTGTTCGCGCTCAGTGGTGGGCAGGTGGCAACGCACAGCAAGACGTGCAGCAGCATCGCGAGTGTGTCAGAATGTTATTCTTATGTTCTAGCCTGTAGTGGGGTGCTCTATAGCGAGTACAACCCTTCTAGGGTTTGCTATTTGTATCCCCATTTCTGCTAGTTCAATCCTCTTTCTTCTTCTAACTTTTGAGAGAGTGGCCCACTGGGAGCGAACTGTGGCGTCGGCATCGGCAGCAGGGGCAGGAGAGGCACCAGAGGTGAGGTCAAAGAGGGAGAGACCGTCTCCCCTATCGCACTGTAGGAAAAGCTGCAGGTCATCTACCCAGACCTTAAAGTCAATGGCCCGACCCTCAGCGTCAAAAGCGAGAACACTGGGGGTAGCCATGACAGCAGTAGACTAGTAGTGCTAACTGTAGGAGAGGGGCAGTGCAGTGACAGAAGCGCTGCTCTCACCAGACAGGGAAGTTCGGGCAGCTCGGCAACACGGCGGCTCGGGCGACTCGGGCGGCTCAGCAGCAACTGCGGCTGTGCGGCACCAGCGGCTCGGCTCCTCTGCGGCTCAGGCGGCTCGGGCGGCTCGGGCGGCTCGGGCGGCTCGGGCGACTCGGGCGGAACGGACGGCACGGGCGGCTCGGGCGGCTCGGGAGGCTCGGTAGGGCGGCGGGGCCGCAGCGAAGGGCGGCGGGGCCGTAAGGTAGGCGGCGGGGCCGTAGCGAGAGGGGCGGCGGGGCCGCAGCGAAGGGCGGCGGGGCCACACGGTAGGCGGCGGGGCCGCAGCGAGAGGGGCGGCGGGGCCGCAGCGGAGGGCGGCGGGGCCGCAAGGTAGGCGGCGAGGCCGCAGCGAGAGGGGCGGCGGGGCCGTAGCGAGAGGGGCGGCGGGGCCGCAGCGAAGGGCGGCGGGGCCGCAATGTAGGCGGCGGGGCCGCAGCGAGAGGGGCGGCGGGGCCGCAGCGAAGGGCGGTGGGGCCGCAGCGAGAGGGGCGGCGGGGCCGTAGCGAAGGGCGGCGGGGCCGCAGAGAAGGGCGGCCGGGCCGCAGCGAAGGGCGGCGAGGCCGCAGCGAAGGGCGGCGGGGCTGCAGCGAAGGGTGGCGAGGCCGCAGCGAAGGGCGGCGGGGCCTTAGGGAAGGGCGGCGGGGCCGCAGTGAAGCGTGGCGGGGCTGCAGCGAAGGGCGGCGGGGCCGCAGCGAAGGGCGGCGGGGCCGCAGTGAAGGGCGGCGGGGCCGCAGGGAAGGGCGGCGGGGCCGCAGTGAAGGGCGGCAGAGCCGCTAGGGCGACGGGGCCGCTAGGGCGACTGGGCCGCTAGGGCGGCGCGACGCAGTGAGAGAGAGGAGCGCGACTCGGGCTGAGCGCACTCCGGGCAGGAAAAAAAAAATCGGCTTGGTGGGCCCTAGGCACAGTTCCCACTAGGGAACCTGCTCGATACCATGAGAAAAGTGAAACGAGAATGATTGACTAAGGAATGAAAATGATACAAATATGCAACCCTAGAAATGTGTACCCCACTATAGCCTACACAACATTCTAGTTTCACAAACCTTACTTTTAGGGCGTGTGCATTAGAGCTCGAAAATGTGGTAATCGAACTTTGAAATCGAACAACTTGTCAGAATGTTATTATCTAGCCTGTAGTGGGGTGCTCTATAGCGAGTACATACCTATTAGGGTTTGCTATATGTATCTCAGCTACTGCTAGTGAAACCCCTCCTTTGTTCATTTCTCTCTTGCCTAGCTAGCTAAACCCTAGCTATGGCTCCTCACTGTGCTTACTATTGTAACATGGTTTCAGAGTATTTACGCTCCTGGCCAGTGGGCCCACCTAACTGCTTCCGCTGCTACTCTGTGTGTTGCACGCCCCGTGGCGTGCGACGGATTTTTCTTCCCGCCGCGCGCTCGGAGCCTGCGGCGGTTTTCTGTGTGCCGTGCACCCCGGGGCGTGCGACGGTTCTCTTCCCGCCGTGCGCCACGAGGCGTGCGGCAGCTTTCTGCCCCGTCGGTCCGCACGTCGCCCCCGGGGGGCGCTTCGACGGGCGACGGGGACCAGCAGCTCGTGTGTGTCTGCAGCTTCAGTAGTCGCCTCCCATCTTCTCGCCCCCACAGTCTCTCCTCCTCACTTGCCCCCTGTGATAGCCTCTAGCTTTGCTTGCAATTGTGAACCTGCTCTATGACTGCGTGCTCTGCTGATTACACCCCACTTTGGCTATGAGGGTGTGTCAGAATGTTATTATCTAGCTGTAGTGGGGTGCTCTATAGCGAGTACAACCCTGTTAGGGTTTGCTATATGTATCCCAACTACTGCTAGTGAAACCCCTCCTTTGTTCATTTCTCTCTTGCCTAGCTAGCTAAACCCTAGCTATGGCTCCTCACTGTGCTTACTATTGTAACACAACCGTCATTTTTGCTATTCAAGCACCCTTTGTCGAACTCGTGGCTTTGGCCCGAAGTCCTGTAAGAATAGCTCGGGCACAAAAAAAATAAACCAATTCAAGATTCGAATAAGTTGTCGTACGCTTCATTACAGTACAGTGTCGTCATCGTCGCACTACATGTGATTGGGTTAATTCTGACACGTCAGCATACCGTGAGCGTCGCAAAGTCGCGTAAGTAGGAGCTCGAGCCGCGCTCGGGAGTGCTGTTCGAATGTTGGCGGGTTTTGAGATTCGAATACGTCAAACCCGAAAAGTGTCAACTTCTTCAGAGAGTCCTCGCGAATATGTTTCGCGAGAATAACGAAATCAGGTTACCAATCTTTTAGAAACCCTTACCTCGACTTCGTGCGCCAATCTCGTGCGAGGACTTTCGGACAGTCCGAATGCATTTCAGACAGTCCGTTTCTGACGTTTCAAACGGTTGAGTTTGGGAAAAGTGTCATTACTGTCCCAGTTTTTAGAGACGTCGCAAAGGCACTTCGCTACCCGGACGGTCCACAATTCGGACCGTCCGGAACAAAAAGTGGCAAAGTTGTTACACGCCCTTAGGTTAGGTTTTTGAGCAACATTTGAATGCCAAGCCCACTCTCCTGAAGTAGGCATCTTCTCTGCTCTTCATTTCTCTGACCAGTGCTCCTCGCCCGCCTCGTCTGCGCACACGCCACTGCGCGGCCAATGCAGCGAGTGTCGGAAATAGAACTCCTCACGGACGACGAGCGCCGAGCCCTTCGCGCCAGTCGATTTTCCGCGGAGCGACTTCCCAGTCCACCGCGCTCCTCGCACTCCGCTTCAGCAGCGGCCGCACGGTGAGTCGCCGCTCTTACCCCTCATCGCTCCCAAAGTTCACCCCCTGCGTCTCAACCCGTCGCTCCCTTGCTGTCGCCCGTCCTTCCCCCCTCCCTCCCCCGTCGCAGGCAGGCGCACCCCGGGGGCCCGCTGGCGACGAACAAGGCGGCGGCCCTGTCACGGTTCCTGCAGCGGCGGTTGGCGGCGAGCGGCGAGGGGAGCAAGGGGGGCGAGAGGGGGGCGCTGGACCCGCGGCTGGTGGAGGTGGCGGTGAGGAACGCGCAGGCGACGCTCGTGGCGGGTGAGGGGCGCGCGCACGTAGAGCGCGCTCGGTGTGCGGGAGGGCGGGAAGGGGAAAGGAGAGGATGTGCGCAGGGAGCAAGTAGCGCACATGCATGGGGTGCGATGGTGGGATAATGGGGTCATTGACCAAAGAGATGGTGGGCGTGCATGTGTGGCGGACAAGGAAACGAGAGGGAGGGAATTATGGGATAGGAGGACTGGAAAGCGACGGGGGGGAAAGGGAGAAGTGAAGAACGAGACACGGGGATAGTTGGATAGAGTGCGATAGGACCGTGAGAAGGGCGAGGTTGGATAGGTACATGCAGGGTTCGAGGTTGGATAGGTACATGCAGGGTTCGAGGTTGGATAGGTACATGCAGGGTTTGAGGTTGGATAGGTACATGCAGGGTTCGAGGTTGGATAGGTACATGCAGGGTTCGAGGTTGGATAGGTACATGCAGGGTTCGAGGTTGGATAGGTACATGCAGGGTTCGAGGTTGGATAGGTACATGCAGGGTTCGAGGTTGGATAGGTACATGCAGGGTTCGAGGTTGGATAGTGCAGGGTTCGAGGTTGGATAGGTACATGCAGGGTTCGAGGTTGGATAGGTACATGCAGGGTTCGAGGTTGGATAGGTACATGCAGGGCTCGAGGTTGGATAGGTACATGCAGGGTTCGAGGTTGGATAGGTACATGCAGGGTTCGAGGTTGGATAGGTACATGCAGGGTTCGAGGTTGGATAGGTACATGCAGGGTTCGAGGTTGGATAGGTACATGCAGGGTTCGAGGTTGGGAAGGAGCAAGAGGGATGAGATGGATGGGGTTCGCCGCGTGTCAACATCGGCCGAGCTACTCCAGCATTTGCCACACTAAGCTTTCTGGTGTATGCGTGCATGCTTGTGTGTGTGTGTGTGTGTGTGTGTGTGTGTGTGTGTGTGTGTGTGTGTGTGTGTGTTTGTGTGTGTGTGTGTGTGTGTGCGTGCGTGCGTGTGTGCGTGTGTGTGCATGTGTGTCTCTGTGTGTGTACATGTGTGTGCATGTGTTTTTGTGTGTGTGTGTGTGTGTGTGTGTGTGTGTGTGTGTGTGTGTGTGTGTGTGTGTGTGTGTGTGTGAGTGTTTGTGCGCGAGCGCACATGCGTGCATGCGAGTGTGGGAGTGCGTGTGTGTTCATGGGTGTGTATCCTTCCTCCCAGCGGCATCCTCAGGAGGAGGTGCCGTGCGCCACGTGGACTGTTTCGATGAGGGCGACCAGGGGGGTGGCGCCACCGACAGCAGTGGCAGCCTCAGTGGCTTTGATGAGCCGGTGAGAGCAGCAAGGCACCCGTGCTCATGCCACATCAGTGCATGCAACAAGCATCTGGCTCGCAAGCTGCAAGAAGAAGTCTTCAACTTCCCGCTCTAACCCATGCCTCTGTTGCCATTCATGCACCCCTCTGCGATGTCGCATTCACTACCCATGCCATACAGCAGCCCAAAGTGAAGCAGAGGAAGCGCAAGGGCAATGGAGGGGGCACCAAAGGCAAGGACAAGAAGATGAAAGGGAATTTCCTAGAGAAACGAAAATTCAAGAAAAACAAGCGGCACACAAAGAAGGGACGTGCAAAGGGATAGAAACTGCCAGCAACTTCTGGCTCCCCAAAGAGACACGTTGCTGCAATTCAGCTTATTGCTAAAAAAAAACTTTATTAAGACTTGTTCATGCACATACGGTATGAACCTAGGTGGAGGGCTGTGTGCTAACACATCAACTGTTGAAATTCAGATCTCCCTCTCTAGCTAAACTACGGCACTGTCTGACTGCATTCCAGGGCCCAAAATTGGTTTTGGGGCACCCTGCCATATCAGGGTCCCCCAGTGCCCTTTGCCTGACCGTCTGTGTGGGAAATTTTTTACCCTGAGCTTGTCAGTGTGTTTTAGCCAGTACCTTGTGTGTGTAAGGGTATTTAAAAAACCATTCTGATTGCTAGTTCAAAGTCCTACTGGCACAACCTAATAACTTCCCTACATGCAATGCAACTCTACTCAACATAACTGTTGAGCTGAAAAAACCCTTAGGATCTTTGCAGGGGTGAACTTTGGATAGAGTTGGTATAGTAGCGGAAGCGTTTTAATAAAGAGTTTGTGAACCACCTTGCGCTAGTGTGTGAGGGCAAAGTAAGTTGATTAAAACAAAGAGATACAAGATTATATATGAATACAGGGAATATGAAGAGACACAGTTATAACTACTTTACTGTTGCTGTTGCGGTTCGATGCAGTGACGACTCGGGCAACTGCTCTGTAACGAGTCAGTTGTATGTCCTTGCTGTCGCGCTGTATTTGTCAGGTCAAAGGTCGCTGACCTTTGACTTTCGCGTAACCTCCAGCGGTTACTTCAACCTCCGAGGGTTGACTCGCTGGTGCCTCGATATGCTTTGCTTCACTTGTGCCTTAGTGTTTCGACACGACAGAGGCGCTTAGGAACGATTGTTTCCAACACTCCCCTTCGCTCCTGGAGTGTCGCTGACGTGGCTCTGTCCAGTCAGCAACATGCAGTATTCGAACTTCTGCTTTCCGAGCTTCTTGATCAGATAGTCAGTGTCAGAGAGAGTAGGAGTACGGCCTAGGCTTAGTAGCCTAGGCCACAGTAGGACGAGAGCGATGAGGCGCCAAGAACGAGCTAGAATTGTGTGCAGGAATAGAATTGAGAAGGGATGATTGAACTAGCAAGAAGCAGGATACAAATAGCAAACTCTAAAGGGCTGTACTCACTATTGAGTGCCCCACTGCAGGCTACACAAACAACATATTCTGACACACCTCCATAGCCAAAGTGGGGTGTAATCAGCACAGTAAGCAAAGCAGAACAAGCTCAGGGTGGATCACAATGTCACCACACATTCTGAGCACAATTATAAGAAGCAGCAGTTTAAAGTTCACATTTATGAGCAAAGCTAGTGGTAGTCACAGCGGGCAAGTGAGGAGGAGGAGGGACTGGGAGAGGAGAGAAGATGGGAGACGACGGCTGAAGCTGCAGACACACGGGCAACAGGAGCGGCTGGCACAGTGGCTACCGGGACAGCGCCCCGGAGTACTGGAGTAACTGGCTCACGGGCTACGAGGAGCTATAGGAGCAACGGACCCACGGGCGACAGGCGCAGCAGGCTCTCTGGGCTACCAGGACAGTGCGCCCCGGACTACAGGTGCTGCAGATGACAACATAGCAGCCTTCACTCAACCTCCCCAGACTGTCCCACACCCCCCTACACACACCCCCAGTTTCACCCCTAGCTCCACTCCCACATCACCCCCATAGCTCCACTCCCCACATCACCCCCATAGCTCCACTCCCCACAGCTCCCACACCTCCATCCCCCTGAGCGGCAGCTGCAGCAGTGGGAGATGAAAAAGGAGGAGGGGAGAACCCACACCTCTCACCCCCATGCTTGCCACCCCACACCCCCACCACCGCGGAACGCACGGCGGAATGGGAGCAACGGGCAACACGGGGGGGGGGGGGAGACGGGACGGGCTTCCGTAGGGGTGGCTCGCGTGGGTCCTGGGGCGGCTGCTGCAGGTGCGGGCTGCTCCAGGGGCGGCCGCTGCAGGTGAGAGGTAGGAGGAGGTAGAAGGAGTTAGGAGGAGGGAGGGGCGCCCCGAGGGGCGACGAGAAAGGAGCCGCGCGCCCCCCCCCCCCCGCCCCCCCCCCCCCCCCCCCCGGGGCGCCACGACGGGCAACAGAGAGGGCGCCGCGACGGGTCTCCAGAGCCGCCTCGACGGGCGACGGGGAGGGCGCCGCGAACGCCCCCCGAAGTCGCCGTGACGGGCGACGGGGAGGGCGCCGCGCGGGCCCCCCGAAGTCGCCACGACGGGCGACGGGGAGGGCCGTGCACGACCCCCGAAGTCGCCTCGACGGGCAACGGGGAGGGCGCCGCGCACGGCCCACGTGATCGCCACGACGGGCGACGGGGAGGGCGCCGCGGACGGCCCTCGTGTCGCCACGACGGGTGACGGGAGGGGAGGCCGCGCGGGTCCCCGAGGTCGCCTCGACGGGCGACGGGAGGGGAGGCCGCGCGGGTCCCCGAGAGCGCCTCGACGGGCGCTTCGACGGGAGGGGACCGCGGAGGCCCCCCCAAGGGCACCACGACGGGCGACACGGAAGGGAAACCCGCCAAGCGCCCCGAGTGCGCGGCGGGCAGAAATTAGGGTTTCGCCGCCGCGCACCACGGGGCGCGCGGCGGATGGTAGGGCAGCGGAAGCAGGTGGTGGGCCCATACACAGGAAGGCAGCAGACATGCCGCCCTCTGATACCATGTCAGAGAGAGTAGGAGTACGGCCTAGGCTTAGTAGCCTAGGCCACAGTAGGACTAGAGTGATGAGGCGCCACGAACGAGCTAGAATTTTCTGCAGGAATAGAATTGAGAAGGGATGATTGAACTGGCAAGCAGCAAGATACAAATAGCAAACCCTAAGGGGCTGTACTCACTATTGAGTGCCCCATTGCAGGCTACACAAACAACATATTCTGACAGTCAACTGCCATCTCGGACGTGGGGCAGTATGACAGCTCAAGCCTTCCTTTCTCGATATCGTCCTTCACGAAGAAATATCGCAGGGCGATGTGTTTCGTCCTGTTCGCGAAATTGTTCTTGTTGGCGATGTGAATTGCCGACTGGTTGTCGCAGAACAGGAAAAAGTTGTGTAACTCGGCTAACTTCGCTTCTTCCAGCAGCTCGCGAGAGATAAAGTCCTTCCTTAGTGGCTGAGCAGAGTGCAATATATTCTGCTTCAGCTGACGAGAGAGCAATTAGTTCTTGCTTGCTCGATTGCCAGGAGATAGGTGCGATAGGCTCGAGGTGGTAGATGTAGCTGTCAGAATGAGAAACGAGAATGAATGACTAGGTAATGAGGGTTGGGTACAAATATGTCAAACCCAACCCTAGAATTGTGTACCCACTATGGGCTAGCCCACTGTAGCCTAAACAAGCACAAAATGCAATATTTGACACACCCCCATAGGCAAAGTGGGGGAGAACAAGGGGTCACAAGACCAGTCAAAGCAAAGCAAAGCTCAAGGTGAATCTCAAGGATACCACACAAGTTCCGAGCACAAGCAAGTGGTCGAAAGACTAGTTCACATGCAGATTTATAAGAGAACAAGAGATACAGTGATCACAACCTAGCAAGAGTAAGCATGCAGGTATATATATATAGAGATCACTGTACAAGCAAAGTCAAGAAGTGAGCAAATGAGGGACACTAGGCACAAGGCCTAGAACAGTACAGAAGCGCTGATGGTCACAAGGCTGAAGCGCCTTGGTGAACACGTCAGCAGTGTTGGCCCGAGTGGTCACGTAACGCAGACAAAGCTGACCTCGCTGTTGCAGCTCTCGAGCAAGGAAGTAACGCAGAGCAATGTGCTTCGTCCTGTGCTCCAGTCTGTGCTCCTCACACAAGGCAATGGTGGCCTTGTTGTCGACGTACAGCACTGGAGGAGAACGAGGCTGCTCTCCAAGGTCAGTCAGCAGGTAGGTGAGCCAGCGAAGCTCTTGGGCAGCCATGGCCGTGGCGTAGATCTCAGCCTCACAGCTGGAGCTGAGAACAGAAGAAGAGCGAGTAGAACGCCAAGAGACAGAGCCAGAGCCAAGGCGGAAGGTGTAACCCTTAGACGACCGCTGAGTAGCCTGGTCGTCTGCCCAAGAAGCGTCTGAGTGCCCAGTGAGAACAGGCCGGTCTCGCCCTCCAAGCACTAGCCCCATGCCCGACGTACTGCACACGTAGCGCAACACCCTCTTAGCTGCATCCATGTGCTCCTTCCGGTGACGGCCAGGAGCGACATAGCGTGCTAAGATGCTGAGAGGGTATGCAAGATCAGGTCGAGTGCAGGTCATCAGGTACATGAGGCAGCCCACAAGCTCTGGATACGGACCACTCGGCTCTACGGACTCATCCGAAGGCAGAGCTGAGAGCGAGTATCCCGTAGGCAGAGGAGTGGACTGAGGCGAGGAGTACGTGAAGCCGAAGCTCTGAAGGACTTGCTGCACCATGTGTGACTGAGTCAGGGTAATGGTGCGGCGTGCTCTGTCCCGGGTGATCCGCAAGCCAAGATAGCTTGTCAGTTCACCCAGGTCTGTGCACGTGTGTCTCTTATGCAGCTCGGACTTCACGTGAGCGAGACCAGCTGTGTCAGAAGTGGCAAAGACCAAGTCGTCGACGTACACGAGGATGTAGAACGGCGGAAGTGAGGTGTCGGTGCGTAGAAACAGCGAAGGGTCAGTAGTAGAAGGAGCGAACCCAAGAGCCGCAAGTGTAGTCCTCAGTGTGTCGTGCCACTCACGTGGCGCCTGGCGGAGACCGTAGACTGGCCGCCGGAGGCTCCACTGGGTACCAGGAGGGAACGACCCAGCGAAGCCAGGTAGGCGGCGCAGCCAGATCTCCTCGTGCAGGCTGCCCTGCAAGAAAGCTGTGCTGAAGTCAAGAGAGTGGAGCTCGTAGTCACGCTGAGCGGCGACGTGTAGCAGAACCCGAAGAGTGGTCATCTTCGGGGTCGGGGAGAAGGTCTGGAAGAAGTCAACTCCCTCTCGCTCACTGAAGCCTCGCGCAACGTAACGCGCCTTCAAGACAGGCGGAGA